AAATAGTCCAAAGCAATTTGCCAAGTTTAGAAGATGGCCATAGCAAGAGAGTTGGTGCTTTTCTTTATTGTCACCTTCGTCTTATGCACAGGTCTGTTTAATACATACAACTTACAAGCTTAGCAAGGCAACACTCTCCCATCTATTGGGCTGTAGGGGAAGCAATTTTAGCCTATATTTCTATTTTTTTATCCTTTTTTTTTTCTGTTTATGTTTTTATTTATTTTTTTAGCTTGGTTAAAAGCATCATTTTTCTCACTTGTTTATTTTCCCTTCTGTAAAATTTAGAGCTAAAATAAAAACTTCGTTTTCATTTTATGGTACAGTGTTTATGCTAAAATAAAAACTTTGCTTCATCAAGCAAATCAAATTATATGCCAAAAAAGGAATAAATTATCCTTAATTGGCCATTTTCCTAAATTATCATCTTTAAATTAAGGATTTTACCTTAATTACAAGCTAAATTAAATTAAATCATAAATCAATCCTATAATCAAGGCTTACTCGTCCAAGTCTCGGGTCCCACATAAAGTACATGTGGCACATGATTCATTGAGAAAAAGGTGGACACATGTCTGCACATTAAACAAATCAAATTATGTGCCCAAACAGGAATAAATTATCCTTCATGTTCCTAAATTACCAGTTAATTTCCTTAAATTAAAGATTTTGACTTAATTATGAGCTAAATTAAATTACATCATAAATCAATCGCATATATCAAGGTTTACTCATCCAAGTCTTGGGTCCCACACGAAGTACACATGACTCACCAAGGCAAAGATGTACACTAAAAATTGTACAATTGAAATATTCTCAAAGAGATCTTTAAAAAGAGACCAATTTGGAATATATTTGAAGAAAAAAAAAATTAATTGATGTATTTTTTTATTACATTGAACTATTGAACAACCATTACGAATGCTCTTAATGGCATAATGCATTAGTTGATGTATTTTTTGTATTTTTTTATTGGCATGTGGGTCCTATTGTTAGCCTATTGCAATTCAATAGATGGTAACATAGCACCCTCTATTGCAAATGCATTTATTGCAGTGAACTAAATCACACAATTGCATGTGAGATTTTATTGTTTTAGTTCAATTTCATGCAATAAAATTGCATTGATCCTAACCATTGTAGATGCTCTAATTAATCTAGTATAAGTAAAAATGAGCATATAAATGAAAAGTATTGAATTCATGTTTTCCAGGTTTCCAAGGTGTTGCTGCTCAAGAATGTTGTGGTGCACATTTTATTAGAAAATGCAATCCTGGTAAACCAAGCAAAGAAGCCTGCAATCGAGGTTGCATAATTCGTTGGGGAGCACTTGATTCTTGCATCTTTAAGAAAACCAGTGGTGTCTACGTGCCTTATTCTTCAACTACACTTCCAAGTGAACAAATTGGAGGCCCCATTTCTCCCAATGGATAAATACCATTTCAATGCAAATATTTATAAAGGTATTTTAGATTTGTAATTTAATAATACAAAACGTCGAGAAAAAATTTGGGATCAAAGTATCGAACTGCTTGTATCAGTATGACCCAATTTGACATGTTTATGCTTGTTGTTTTTTTTTTTTGTTTTGTTTTTTTTTATATAAGCAACATTGAGAGGTGAGGAATTTGAATACGGGATCTCGGATGTATGCACAACTACTCAAGCAGAAAATTTACTAACATGCCGCTCGAGCATATCTTTAGACAGAGAAATAGTGACAAAATTCTCACGATCGCCATAACCCAACAAATTATCTTTCAAAAACAATATGTTATAACTGATAACCATTGCCAACTCTCCACTTTAATCCTTTAGAGAGAAAATGAGACCCGAACAAGATGATAA